GGGTGAATATTACCGTTGACATTGACTTAGATCCCATTGAGCAGTTCGGTCCATAAAGTTGGTGTATTTCTGTGCTCCATATCTTGTCAATCTGCAAGCTCGTATATCTGAATCCACTGTCTTGAAAGAGGATGGCGACCCAGGCAGGGAGAAGCGGTCGCAAGAAAAAAACGGAGTACCAATCTAAAATGTGCCGGCTTTGCTATGCTTCATGCAACCGAAATCTTCTCGGTTTCAGGGAGGCCATCGCGAAGTTTCCAATAAGAACTCGCGACGGCCTCACTGCTGCGTCGCAGCCAGAGGGGGTGGAAAAAACGTGGCGTCGTAGGTAAATTTAGGTGAGATCGTAGGATCAACCTTAAAATTTCATATTTGACCTTGCAGATAAGTTTACAAGTCCAACGAAATCAGATCCAAACTCGATCTACAGTAAAAGATTCCAAAAAAAGAAATTCATCTATGAATAGTGCCAGCTTTGCCTGAATAGTATTTGCCACTATTCACATCCAATTTTGTCTTTTTTGGTTCTCTATAAGGGTAGTTCGACTTAGGAGCTGAAATTCTTCGAGGTTGTACTACATCAAACACAGATGTGTGTCTACAAATATTTTCAGAATTTTTGAACATGTTTTGAGTCTTCTAAAAGATTGATCTCATCGAAGGTTTAGGTGCGGCCGCAGGGTTGACCGCTGGTACCGGAGAGTGGGGGTGGGATTTGAGGCTTTAGAGGGTTAGTCGAGGTGGCGGTGCCGCTGGCCGTGGGAGGCGGTTCGGCCTTGGGTCAGAGGGTAGTGGTGGAAGAATGTCTTTATAAGTCGGCCCCAAATGATATCGAATTTGCTAAGTAAGAAGAGAGTTGTCTTGTTAATTAACAAAAAACGGGTGAACACCGTCAAAGCATGCCTGTAAAAGCAAGGCACTTCGAGCGACCTGGCAGCCCACGCAAGAACGTACACACGTCGTCGAGGAGAAAAGCATCACCAAGGTTGCAACCCGGTGTCATCGTCATCACACCTCTGAGAGGGTGACTCGACTTCATCATTGACGACCAGCAACTGGCTCGCATCACAAGACAAACGCCAAGACCTGCGTAGGCGGAAGCCAAACAGTCAATCGCACATGTCGGTGACTAGGCAGCTCCGACTCTGCCAACGAGCATTGCAAGAGAAATGCGCTGGGCTTGCGCTAGGTCAACGCCAAAACCGACCACCCACCTCGAGTCACTGTCCCTGCAATGTCCACCTCAGCAGCTTCGACTTCATAGAAACAAAGTGAGGCACGGCGACCCATCGAACACGCCAGATGAGACCGACTACCAGAGCACAACTGCAACCCTCCCTTTGCCCAAAGCCGCATTCGTTGCCACATACAAGAAAACCGACATCGCATCACTGGACAGCCACCTGCTGACCACAATGTCGCGAGCGTTCAGCCTATTGCGCAAACGGGATCTGAAGCTCTTTAAGGAGACACCCCAAAAGAGGAAGTGGTGATGCTGACGCCGTTGTATGACCCAGGCGGGCCTTAGGCTTTCATCCAAAGATCAGGATCCGAGAGTGTAGGAGGATATGGGGCTCCACTGCGATGCCTCCAGGGAGGTGAAAATACACCCACAAACGTCGATACCGGCGCCATCAAAATCGAGCAAGGTTTCATCTGGAGCAACCCAACACCACCAACACCCCCATGCACAGCACCCCGGCTGCCCGCCAACCTCTCATAGAGCCACCACATTGGTAGCACAGGAGAGCCACCAAGCAGCACACTTCCCTGCCGGCCAAACACCGATGAACCAGATCCAACCAGATCTGGCATCCCACCACCGCTACGCCACCATAGGAGCCACTAGGGCCCCGGCCCGCGCGAGGCACCCCACGGAGCAGGAACGGGAGGGGGCACACCCGCCCCTATTCGTCGGAGAAGAGCAACTGACTGAAGACCAGGAGCCCGCCAGCGAAGTTACCATGGTTGCCATCCGCGAGAGACACTGCTAGGGAGTTGCCACATCGGAGAAGAGTAGACGAGGCCCACCACGGATGCGGTCAACCTACCTAGATTCGCCGTGCTATGTAGAAGAAGGGGATCGAGCCTTCCCACCCCGAGATTCTATTGTCAAACGAGAGGAGGACGACCCCGCCGCGCTGCTACGCAGAAGAAGGTGATCGAGCCTTCCCACCCCGAGCTTCTGTAGCCAAACGAGAGGAAGACGACCCCCTGCCGCCGCTCTGGCTTAGCCCGACGGTCTCCTCCGGTGACGGCGAGGGAAGGAAGGGGGCAGGAGGGCGGCCCGGGCTAGGTTTATGCCCGTCTCGCCTTGGACAAGAGGACGCATGGGGCTTTTTAGAAGGGAAAGTCCATTTTAAACCCCCCGAACTCATAGAGGTTCGGTGAAATGAACCCTTTGGTCAAAATCCCGGCCGATTGCGCCCTGAACTATGTAATCCCGGTCTAAGTCGAACCCTGTCATCATTTGAGGCATAGAAACACTAAAGTGGCTAGCTTGTGGGCCAAGGAGCGCCAGTGTTAACTACGGCCCGCACTCGTCCTCCACGCTGGGCCAGCCCTTTTTTTTTGTATGCTAAAAATGCAATTTTTTTCGTTATACTGCTAAACAAAGGTGCACGCACGCACTGTGTCTTCTGTGCCGGGCCACTGCTTGAAAGAAGGTGCGTGCGGTGGTTCAAACTTGCGACCTTCGCTTTGCCGCCTCACCTCTTGTGAATAATTTATTCCAATTTCTTTTTTGTTTTGTTCGTGGAAGCTCTTTATACAGTTTTTCTTTATTTCTTCCCTTTTTATCTAATTCATTTTTTTAAAATGTGAACCTTTTTACAGAACTCGTGGAGTTTTTCGAATCCGTGATTTTTTTTAAAATCCATGAACTCTTTTTAGTTTTACAATTTTTTTCCAAAATCCATGTACTTTTCTTTTGAAAATCCATGAACTTCTTTTCAAAAATTGTGAACTTTTTCTAAGTCACTTTAAAAACAATTGTGACATTTTTTTTCCTTTTGAAAATCTGGTTCATGACTTTTTTCTATTTCCCTACTAAGATGACCACGAATTTAAGAAAAAATGAAAACGAAACAGAAAAAGAAAAAGAAAAAAGAAAAGAAAGAAGAAAAAGATGACAAAGGGAGCAAGTGAACACAACGGATGTACTGTCCTAGTGGTTAGTCATGTTGACCAACAACAGGTGGTCTCGGCTTCAAGTCACTCTGCGTGCCAAGAAACTGCGTGTTTTTAAGAAGGAAAAAAACTAAAGCGGGCGAGCCCAACGGGGAACAATGTGAAATGGCACCAATCCCGGTTATCCTTTGACATCTGTTCCACAATCCTCGTTTGATGCTGGGGTTTAATTTATGAGGGTGCGATCGATCAAGTTATCAAGTTGCCTTCGGGTTCGATGCCGGGGTTTAGTTTAGACTGGGATGATTGCATTGCTCAGGGTGCAATCGATTGGGATTCCAAGTAGTTCAGGGTGCAATCCAGGGGCGGAGACAGGGGGGGCGAG